ATTATTTGTATATACTTGAAGACTATCAATTAACTGTTAGTTATTTAAAGACTGAATCAGTTTAGTCAGTTATGTGCCATGCGGGATACACGCTTAGGCGATCAGGTATCGAAAGATACATGATTGTCTAAAGGCGATCATAGAAAGATACATGATCACCTTTAGACAATCATGTATCTTAGACTTAGGCAGATTTTTCCCGCAGTAGGTTGCCATTTCTTTCTGTGGTAGACCAGTTGCCACCCAAAGCAACACGGTCTGTCTTGCTATTTACCCATAGCTTGAAGAAGAAGAGGATTCATACCTTTAATTTACTCCTGCCTCACAAACAAATCTAGTGTCGCTGACAGAACTAACCTGGCCGCTCGTATTGAAATGGACCTCCAATCGGTTGTTAATTGGGGCAAGAATTGGATGGTCAACTTTAACGCCTCAAAAACTAAACTACTCTCTATTAATCACCATATAGATCCAGTTATCTTGATATATCCACTATCCTTCTCCTCATTCTTTCTTCTATCACTCCTATCTGCTCTCGCTCCAAATCTTCTGCAACCCCCCTGCATCCTAGTGGCTTCCCGCCTTGCTCGGGGCGTAATGCTTTAAAAAAAAAAAAAAGAAGGTATTAGCACGGAAGTGTATGATATTGATTCGACTGGAATTCGAACTCGGCTCTCCGATTTGTCAATCCGAGCCGCTATCCATTAGTCCACTGTTAGCAGCGTTCCTTAATACCAACGCAATTCTCCTTTTGCCTTCAAGATGGCGCTTGTCGTCTAAGATAGCCATAAGCAATTCTTTGGCTTCCTCCTTAGGGTCACAATAAAAGTTTCGGGAATATTCTATTTGTAAAGTTGGTTAAGCTTCCTTATTGGCATAATCATTAACTTTTCTGAAAGTTAGTAAGTAAAAAGATGTTTGTTTCAACTCTTAGAGCTAAAAATCAACATTGAAAAATTCAATACAAATCCCAAACGATCTTTAAAAAACGAATAAGAAATGTTAGTGATGGTAAATAGTCAAATAGTCAAACGTTGCTACGAGCTACAGGAGACAGGAAGTTGTAGAGAGCCATGATCACCTACGTCCTAAAAGGATATGCTACATAACAGAAGATAAGCCGCGTGTCAACGTAATAATGATGTTCACTCCTCCATGAAAATAGCCACAAGACAATGAAATGTGCTTTTCTTTAAAATGCTATATTATATCTGTATTATTATAGCTGTATTATATATGTATACACAACAAATTTTTTAAAAAGTTTTTGTAATTAGGTGTGTGTATTATACATGACTAATTACGCTAAGTAAAAAAGACGCGATTTCTAATGGTTACAGCTTGCAATATACACACCCAATGAAGTTTGAAGAATACATCGGATGAAGTGTTGCAATAAAAGCCAGAAAGATGAATATGAAAGTTGTAGGAAATAGTTTTTTCCTGATATAAAATATTCTAAAACGTCTTTTTTATTATATTATTTGGGTTAAACAAACAATAAATAATTAGCACTTCAAACATATGCAGCTGCAGACAGTAATTATAAACTGATTAACAAACATAGCAAAAATGTGACGCCATTTATTGAACCAATCCCAAATATCACGAATCTGGTTATTTCTGCAGTTTCGTCGATTGCTGAAAGGCGGGAATTTGATGCACCAGGATGTATAATTTTAGTATGTCATAAATAAATAAACATTAATTTAATGTTGCACCCAATAATATATGCATACAAAATAGTTGCTTCCTTTAAAAAAATAATTGCTGCTCTAATTATCAAACGTATAGCCAACATCTCATAGTAAGTTCAGATGTAAACGATTTTACCTTGTTTGCGCTCAAAAGCAACGTTTTAGGAAAATGCTCTTCATCAGTACTGTATATCAATATAAACAAAATTGAAATCGAGAAAACATGAATGAAATCCATTGAACATTTTTATAACGGTGTTTGCAGAAACAAGATAGATAGATAGATAGATCAACCAACCAAGTTCAACTTTTAGATATGATAATCTGTGTTTATTCTGTTTTAATGTCCATGGGAAAGGCATGAATCGAATTTTGCCAATAGTTAAGCATAATACATAATGTTCTGATATATATATATATATATATATATATATATATATATATATATATATATATGTAGAAATTGTATATATATAAGAATATATATATATATTCAATTTCTATATATACAATTTCTACACACACACACACACACACACACATATATATATATATATATATATATATATATATATATATATATCAGAACATTATGTATTGTGCTTAACTATTGGCAAAAATTCGATTCAGGACATTCTGATAATTTCTACATGAATATATATATATATATATATATATATATATATATATATATATATATATATATATATATTCATGTAGAAATTATCAGAATGTCCCTATGTTCGAGAGATTTCAGCTATACTTTTAGCGATTATCAAGGAAAGCTTTCAGGCATACACAATATTAAGACAATTTCTACAGAATTTATGTCCAGAAAAGAAGAAAATTATAAGAACACAAGAAAAATTAAATAAAAAACTTAACCGTAGTACCTTGTCATTCGTTTTTAATGAAACTTGTATAAAAGGATTGTTACCCAAATACACAATTATATATATATATATATATATACACATATATATATATATATGAACCAAACTGAACCAAATATATATATATATATGAACCAAATTGTGAAGAAATCTTAGCTAGTTCAGATTATCCAAGACATCTTACCAGAGAATCGACAGTAACATTCAATCATTTGCTGACACGGGATTAAATCCTTTCCCTTTCAGGAGATGAGGGGATAAACACAACAACCTCATAAAGTAGTAACTATTAACTCATGTCAAATGGAAACTTCCGCATCTAGTGGAATGGTCCACTATAAGTTACTGGATCTTGAATAAAATTTTACTATTAACATCTCCTGTGTGCCCAGCTTTAGCAAACAGTAACGTTATTAACCTCCAACATGACAATTCCATGCCTCATCTATCAAAACATACTCCGGGAAAAATTAAGTGCTGATGTGTCAAAGTTTTATCTCATCTTCACGTTTTTGTAACACCTATCCTGCCCCCACTGGATTGATGCTTTTGGTCCTGTCCTGGTGCAGTATTATAATTTCAATCAAAGTCTCCGGTTCACAACGTCGATTCGATTCCACTTTCCAACTACGTTGTAATTTTTTTTATCCTGGAGAGCAATTAACAAATCGTAGATCCTGGAAGATTCAGCTAATCTACTTGCAAGTTCGAAGGGACGAGAATCGGCCAAACAGAAAAATCAAATAGGTACAAGTCGAGTCCAAAGAAAAAGTTATATATATATGTATATTATGAAGAAATTGGTACATAAGAATAATGCTTCTTTTACAAGAAAGTAGTGTGTACGAAATAAAGCCCAGAAAAACAAAAACAAATATTGCAAATAATTCTGAAAGGAGAGAAGTAGTTTTCGGGTTCACCCTTTTTGTTCTTAGTAGTTGCCGTAATTATTTCACTATCAGGATATAAGGGGGTTCACTGGCAGTATTGCGCCAATATTGCAGATAAATTGAGTTCACTTCCTCCCTTATTACAGCAGCAAGTGAAGGCTTTCACTCTCATTGCCCCCCCTCTCTCTCTCTCTATCTCTCTCTGGTCGACTTCGACTCTGACTGTTTGATTTCGCACAAACACGCGGTTAAATATACGCGGTCGTAGCGACAAATGTTGGTAAACTAAGAATATAACCCGATTACTAACCTCTCCCCACTTATGATTAAATGAACAGTCTCTTCTTCTCAAATGGTATTCCATAATTCATATTGTTTATACATTTTATATTAATAATTCTGACGAAGCACAGATTCTCTGGGCACGAACTTCACCACAAATTATTTTTCTTATCGATAAACAAAATTCTATATTACTAGAATTATTATTTCAAGGGTTTCGATTGCTCTCTGCCACATCTAGATTCTATTTTGGTTTATTCACGGAACATTGTTTTAATGCCAAGACATCCAGAAATGGGGAATGTGCTTTTCATGAAAAACTCCAGAATCTTATCGTCGTTGAATGAATAATAATGATAATATAAAATAATAATAAAATACCTCTCCAATCTGTTTGTCTGCTGTAATTAATATTGACATGGAGTTAATAGAAATTCAACATGCGTAATTCCGTATCTCGAAACACATGAGGATCGTTGGTATACCGCAGCCGTGGCATTAATGGACGTGCCTACAGCAAGTTAGCTTAGCGAGGACAAAGGGCAACCAGTCTGTCCTATTATTTGTACACAGAACTGGAGAAAGATGATTTCAAGCCTTTTTTTTTTTTTTTTTTTTTCAATCAGAATGTGAACTTTGCATTCTGATTCCACATCTATAAACATTATACCATCCACATAAACAAATAGGCCGGAGTTTGTTTTGTTTTTTTTTTGTTGTTTTTTGTTTTTTTTATCTTCTGTCTGAAATGTATACGATATTACTTTCCGAAATAGTATGTGTATGTCTATTTGTCTGTGTGAGTGCGCGTGCGCGTGCGTGCGTGTGTGTATAGTGATTCATGTCGTTTATTTCATACAACTTGACATATCTCATTTTTCAAGGAGTAAAATGTTTTTATCAAAAACTGCGATAGCGTTCTCGTATTGACTGTTCAAATGCTTGAAATATCCCCATCTGCCGGCTGCATGCCCTTTAGTATGGCACTGCTGTGGGGTGGAGGCCAATTTATGTGTAGAATTAATCTCCAATCTTCCTCTTGACAGCCTCAAGTTGCCCCAGAAGTCTCAAAAAATGAGTTGCAGCTGTTGATACGAAAATGAGGAACTTATTCTTAGAAGTGGACAACATATGGATTTATATACGTAAGTTATTATAGTAACATAAGTGTCATTCAACTGCATATATATATATATATATATATATATATATATATATATTACTTTGATTGGAGAATATTAATTAATACGTTCAGCTTGAAATTGGTAAATGTCGTCTGCTTGTCTTTTGAAATTCAAAGAAAGGAAGGAAGAAGGAAAAATAATTACGGAAGAAAGTAAACAATGAAGAATTATAGAAGAAACAATGAAAAGGAAAAAGAAATACGAATTATAGAGTAATGAATGAATAAATAAAAAATAGAAAGAAAGAAAGAAAGAAAGAAAGAAAGAAAGAATTATTAAAGAAAGAAAGAAAGAATTCAAAAAGGAAGAAAGAAAGGAGAACCCTGATATAAGAAAAAAAGATTTAGATTGCGTTGGTCTTAGATTAGTCTGGCATAAGGTCACAATAGAAAGGCACCAGTGCGTGCGGTCTAATTATAATGGTACAATGTTAATATTATATATTTTTCTTTATATTTAGTTGTTGTTTTGTTTTTTGTTTTTAATTTTTAACTTCTGTACGCAATTTTTCTTATTTTGAAACAACCAGGAAAACTGGCGGAGAAAGTTGAAAATTCAACTGGAAAGCGTATCATCCGACGATGACGTCGTCGACGGCGGCGTTGTCTATTTATATCCGACATTAAAAGTACAAGTCGAAATGACCTGAAACGTTTTTCTTTCTTTCTTTTTTCAGCACAAATGATTTATTGAGTCGGTAAAAAAACGCAACTTGAGACTTTTTTACAGCATGCAATTTTCCCTGCTTAAAAAAAGTTTTATCTACAATATTTTAATAAAAATTGAACTCTATAAAAATAGAAATTAAAATTAATTATAAAGAAAGAAAATGAATTTCAAGAGCACAAAGAACATGACTGAGCAGGAACAGCAATCCCCTAGAAATCATGCAAATGACTGAAGTCGAACTACATATATTTATAAATTACAAGCTGTAAAAAAATGGAAACTATCAGACTTTATCGAACGAATCACTCAACTCAGGTAAGAAAAACAGATTTAATCACTGATTACAAAAGAGAATAAAATACAAAAAAAAAAGTGGAAAGGTATAAAAAAAAATGCCTGGTGTGTTTGAAACAATCTCTAAAAAAGAAATTAAAGTCCGAGGAAGAATTAGAACGATCCAGACAATAGCATTTAATACCGCTAACAAATGTATTGAAAAGAATTTCGGGAGTGCTATAAATTCAAAAATAAATAAATTGTTTTTTATCATTTCGCCTCAAGCAAGGCAATAAAGCCACTAAGATGCAAGGTGTTACTGAATAGGAAAAAAGAAAACATTATTAAGGAGAGAGGACAATAAAAGAACGAGAATTAAGAAGACAGAAAATAATGATTAACATTGCAATTAGATTTTTGAAGATCAAAGTTGACTGCTAAGCAAGACGCCGGAAGAGGTTTATACAAGTGAGAAATGTAAGAGAAGAAACTGTTAGCATAGAACTTACGGTTACATGTAGCCATTTCAACTGTAAAATGATGAGATCTAACTGCCAATCTAGTACTGCGCTTAAATTCATAAAGTCTAGGTACTATAGAGAAAAGCAAAAAATTAGCTTATCGCTTTTTACCTTATTTTCTTTTTACCTATATTTTTATCTAACCACATCACTACCTTTGATTCTGTTATAGAAAATTATAGAAAGATATTTGTGTTAATAATTTATTGTTTAAACTTTTTAACAAAATCTCGCTGGTGTTGGATATCCCAAAGTGGTGTTGGAATATACCAAAGTAAAGAATACAATACGTATTATAATTTATTATTTTAAGGGGAGCCGCTGAATACTCACTCCGAACAAACCGAGACCGGAGGAGGTTGGGAGCAAGGTCTAATTGTGGGCCCCAGTCAGTGCTTTGTGACCCTCGCTATCTCATGAACATTTGCCTTTTTCTATCCACATTTATATACGTTATAAATTAAACTATGCCCAATAGACTATTAAAGGATGAAAAGTTTTCACGTATTTTGACATCATTCTGGGGTGATTTCTTTTTCGTTCAAATCCTGTAATTTGTTTTGCGCATGCTAAGTCTTGAAAAATTAACTCTACGAAATTCATTATTTCTTTACCAATAATGTTGAAAATGTGAATAATTCTCCAACGTTTTAACAAGAAAAATCTCAAGTTGAATTGCCGCAAAACATTGTTGATTTATTTAAGACTGTCAGTTTAACCTGTCTTTGACCGGGTTTTTCATTATAGGGAATTTTTGCCGTTCATTTGGAGCAGTTTAAGTTTAAAGTCAGCCCACCCGAAAATCAATATTAGTAACAACATTTGGGTACAACTGAGGCACATCCCCAAATGGGGGGTAACAGTTTGAATGGAGGGTGGCCCTGAAAAGGGAACTGTATAATAATAAATATTATTGTAATAATTTAAACTATTTATTTTTATTAAAGTTTTTATGAAATATATATATCCAATAACAGACAGTAAATAGTAAAACGTTGCTGAGAGTTATAATGGACAGGAAGTAGTGGAGAGCCATTGTCGCTAACAATTTGGACTCAAAACCGGCACTGAAGAATTATCTATCAAACAAAAAAATTTCATCGAAATTGGATGAAAACTGTGCAAATGCATAAACAACATTCGATCACACACACATACATATTGAGAATTATAGATATAGATTGAATGATCTATTATGACATGTCTCTAATTTGTATTTTTAGATACAATGTATTAATTTTGAATTTTTCTAGTTAAATTGTTCACCTATATTGCATACGATCCATCATTGTACATAATTAGGTTACAATAAAATTTGTATTTCATATGAAGACTACCTTATGAAAATTGTGATGTAGTAGAGCGAATAGGTTTACTTCACAGCATCCAACACCTACTCATTCTTATTTTGATGTTAAATATTTACTTTAGTTGATTAGTTTAATTTATTTATCTTATATTTACTTTTTTCTTATTAAAATACATTTTTTTTTAAATTTTTCAGCCTTCAAAAGCGCTTGCTTTCTTCGCCTCTAGTGAAATGCCGCTCAATTTAACGGGTGTGCAAAACCCACTGAGGCTAAATAATTACCCATCCAGACAATGATTTTGCGGCTGGATTGTCACAGATTTTTTTTTCTTTTTAAGCCAGTCCCAGTTTTTATTTAGTTAACCTAGAGCGAGACGAAAGAATATAGGATGGGACAATTTATTGAAGCTCCCCGCCAACAAAGAACATTTATACTTAATTTACACCAAGAGTTTTAAGGTCGTGTTGAAGCTTAAATAAGCATGGAATAATACAACACAAAATGTACGTTAACAAAATGTATTGAAACAAAGAATAGGTACACAATATTTACAGTTAGTTTGGTATATTCTTGGGAAGACTGTTCCTGCATAATGGGTTGACTAAATCGCAGTCGGGCAGAGTCTCTGGATTCAATTTCTTAATCTCTACTATCTACCCCGTCTTCCGGTACCAACCCATATTTATATGGTCGGTAGTCCGCTTATGTAAATTAGGTGTATCATACACAACAGGTTGCGAATCATGAAAATAATTTCTGTTCAATTAAGCTTAAAGTGATAGCAGTCAGTGAAAGACAAAGTTTTGTCTTTCTGGTGAAGTGATTCATTGCACCTCTTCGGACTATGCTATATTGGAATAAAGTGTCGTTGCCGACACTTGAGTTTGAACATAGATCACCAGTTAGCAAGCACAGGCGATCCCAATTTTGAATTAAGTAGACCACGTGACCATAGTGGAAACGCATATATGTAGGAAGTAGCTGACAACTAACGATCACCATTCCTAGTCTATCCTCTATTACTATACGGATCGTTATTTCTACTCTATCCTTTATTACTATACGGACCGCTATTCTCTACTCTATTCACTATACTATTTCTCTATACTGATCACTATACGGATTACTGTTCGAGCGAGTGTTAATCGAGCCAGTACTATTAGCGCGAATGCTATTCGAAGGCGTCTAACATCAGTATTGTTCAACGGCGTTACTATAGTTGTATTTGTGATTACAAAGTCTCTAATACAGCGAACATTACGAAAGTGACAACGAGTATTCGTTGGCATCACAAAAATGGCAACGAGTGTTCGTTGAAATCACAAAAGACTAACATTTTCCGCTGACATGACATGGTAAGATTATATTGAATTAATTTCTAGGTCTGCTGCTAGGAAAGTTGGTTCCCTGTGTCGTGCCAGAGAATTTTCCTTGTCAGAATCTATCTTACACATTTATAGATCCATCATACATCCGTGAATATTACTCGCATAGCTGATTCTCCTGCAATATATTTACAGCTTGATGAAATCGAAAGAATCTGCAATGTTATTGGTCCTGACCTAGTTTCTCGGCTTCAGTCACTTTCCACTGGCGTAATGTAGCTTCCCTGTGACCTTTCTATAAATACTTCATGGTAATTGTTCTGACGAACTTTCCTCTATGGTACCTAGACTTTATGAATTTAAGCGCAGTACTAGACTGGCTGCTAAGTCTCATCATTTTACGGTTGAAATGGTTAGATGCAACCATAAATTCTATACTAACAGTTTCTTCTATCGCACTTCTCGCTTGTGGATCTCTTTTCTGGCTTCTTGCTTCCCAGTCAACTTTGCTATTTAAAAATATAAATGCAATGTCAATCGTATCTACTCTCTTCTTAATTCTTGTTCTTTTAATTACTCTCGCTCTCTCCTTTAACAGTGTTTTCTCATTTTCTCTAACACTCAGTAACCACCATTGCATATTAGTGGCTTTATTGCCTTACTTGTAGTGAAATTATTAAAATATAAGTAGGAAAACTTGTTAAAATATTACCTCTGTCAGCTCAGAGGCAATGGAAGATTTTACACGCCTCTGATTTATAACCTGTACACAGCATGAATGCATCAAGTCGAACAACTTTCCTTCCTGTTGCGCAATTAGTAAGCACCAGAGGATAGTTTTGTCGGTAGACTCGGTAAAGATAACATGTTTTCCTGATGTGTGGGTAAAGACAGTATCTTAAAATATTACTGGCCGGACTTGTGAATAAAGACTCCTTTTGTAACATCCGCAAGTTTTACATTTCAGGGTCGGAGAGAAGGCATATAATGCATTTCTATTGTTTGTTAACATTTTCTCTTTCTAGAAAATAAAACCTTGATTTATGTTCTTTCGTATTCTCTCTCGTTGTCCTTATTATAATGTTTGGGCAAACATCTCTACCAACGGCAGTTACAAACGGGGCCACTTATATATATTGTCTACCTTAGCTTGGGCTAGGTTGACAGCTCTTTCTTAGAAGAACAAGTTACCGCAGGATGCTATTCTCAGTTAGCCACTCTCACATGACAGCATTGGCATACAAACCTTTGGAGGAGTATGAATGCGCAGGCATATTAATGCGCCTCGCAAGCGTACAGAACGGTAGAGAGGATCACGGCCCGGGAGACCATGATTTTGGTTTTTATTGCGAGACTGTGATTGATGAAGCACCCATTATGAAAGCGTTCCGTATACAGTATGAGCCGCTTTGATCCTGTTGTCGAGGTATCTCGCGCAGGTGACATTATTCGAGATGATGCTGTCAAGGTATGGAAATTCATCGACGTCTTCTGCCGGCTGCCCGTCAATGTTGATGCTGACGTCCGGTGTTAGTTATATATATATATATATATATATATATATATATATATATATATATATTGTTCAGATGCTGTCGATAGCTGTGCTAACACGAAGTCACAAGCCATCGTAACCGAGGGTTTGAGGACTGACCTTGTTCAAAATGCTGATTGTGGCAGACTATACAATATCTTCCAGAAACGGTAACAAATATTCGCTGAGTTTAGTTGCAATATAAAATATAGTTGGGCTGTGTGTGTGTTGAACAAATTCAAATGTGCGTGAGCCAGAGTCTGCAACAGGGATTGTATAGTCACCTTTTGCTCGAAACGAATAGCCGGTTATAATGTTCATGTGTGTGCGCGCGCGTGTATGTGCACACGCGCGCGCGTGTGTGTGTGTATGTTTGTGCATGCGCGTGTTTCTCATCTTTTTGTGCAGCTTTTTAACATGCCCCTTAAATCTTTTAAGTTTTAAAAAGCTATTTATTTTTATTAATAAATCTTAAATATTATTACAGACTATATTAGTACTAGATTTTATTTTCCTCCCCCAAAGTTTTCCATAGAAAATCCGCTGTGTTCTTCCATGTGCTGCGTACTTTCAGGGCGTAGGCGATCATGGCTATCCACAATTTCCTCTCTTTTGCAGCTCTTTACCACTTCATTAAGGCATTCTCTATTTGTTGATTCTTTTCACTTAACACGAAGTTAAACATACAATTAAATAATAGTTTAAGATAGATAGATAGATAGATAGATAGATAGATAGATAGATAGATAGATAGATATGCGCAGACTAATACAGAATCAGGTAACAAAAGACATAGATAGATAGATAGATAGATAGATAGATAGATAGATAGATAGATAGATAGATAACGTTGTGAATGGAAAACGTGGACAGTGTGGATTCTGGGATACTACTTAATAATACATTGCTTAATATTTTCAAATACATTCTTTCTTTCCTTTACCCTGGCGACGGGTACTTTACGCTGTAAACTTTACGGCAAGCCGATTTTCCACCCGCCACCTCTAATGCCACATAGCGAACAGTAAATACGACCAAAGTTTGATTGGGCGTTTTCGCAATAGGATGAAAACCAAGAATTGGACTCGAGGCTAAGAAAACAACCTGCGACAATTAAAATAGCTTATGAAAACAATCAGCTATTTATATTAATTTTTTTTTTTGTTTTAATTAAATTGCGTTAAATACAAGTTTTTTAAAAAATACATTACACAGTCTGGAGTAGTGGCACAACTTTTTCTAACAAACACCGACCGTTGAGTGTCAAGTTAATCTGTATATATGGCATCTGTAAATAATCGTCATTACTTCTCTGAAATACTACTATAAATAAAGTCAAGCTGACTTGTATTTTTATGCTTTGTAAGTTTCATTTATTTTATTTTTGGCGGGGCACTGAGAAACATTAGGTCTTCTTTCCCAGCATCCTTCGCCTCGAACTTTAGGCGACATTTAATTATGTGTGGGATGTGTACTTCTTTTGGTCTACTTTTAATAATACCCACCCTCGGTCATCCGCATCAGTTCTTGTGGAAGAGATGGCAACACGGTTTTCACGGTCACGTTCCAAGGTTGTGGTAGGTAAGGCAAGGCATGTAACGAGTAAACGGAAAGATAGAAGGCAGGAAGGGAGCATGAACTTGACATCCTAACGCCAAAATAGCGAGATCTGGAGTCGATAGTAATTGGGCGGGAAATAAAGAACGCTGACTAACGGTCGTTTCTCAAAGACGTCAGTCATTCGCTGATTTTGTCTGTCATGAAAACTGAAAAGAGGTGGAGCAACAACGGCTCCGTTCTACGAATGAGCAGAAGGGAAATAATGCTTGATTTCTGAACTACACACAATCATTTTTTTCATCTTATTTGATTATTATTGTTTTGTTTCGTTTATCTGTTAGCCTAACACAGTTAGCTCAATTTTGATCTGAAATGTTCACTGTATAATGTTCGATCTATGTGATTAAGGCGTTGACAAATAAGGAGAGTATATAAAATAAAAAAAAGCAATTATTGGAAAAGTTTTTTGTCATCATTACGGCAACGAATGTTGGCCGGCATCCTCAAAGATGAAAAAGAGACTCGAGGCAACAGAGATATATTTCTACAGAAGGGAGCTAAAGATACCATGAGCCGTACATGTAAGCAACGATGAGGTTTTGGAGAGGATGCAAACAAGGAGGAAGCTTATACTTAATATCAGGAAGAGACAGCTGAAATTTCTGGGACGCGTAATGAGAAAGGAGGGTTTGGAGAGTCTGACACTCACATGATGAATAGAGGGAAAGAGAGACAAGGGAACGCAACGTTCTTCAGCAAGTGGGTGACAAAACAAGGTTTGGGAGAAATAGCAAAGGGACAAAACTTATTGAGAGCTAGAAGGGATAGGGAAAAGTGGAGAGTCATGATCGCCTACGTCCTGATAGGGAAACGGCAAATAACGGAAGAAGAAGGGTATGGATTTATTGATGCATTTATCTATAGATACATTTTCGCACAATTTTCGAAGAATTTTACTAATATTGAAATATATATATATTTTTTAAATGTTATTTTCTAATTACATTTATTTTACTTTATATTAAATGAATAGAGGCGATGAGGAAAGTTCTTTGCCACTGTAAAATATATTCCACCAAGAATTGGTACAAGCTCGCTTTTCAGCGTGTATGGATCATCAGACTCTCTTTTCAAATGAGTTTGAACACGCACTCCTTACTTTTAAAAGTTTGGTTTGGTTTGTTTTATGGCATATCAACCTCAATGGGTTATTTAATGCCGACAAAATTTTCATTATTGTTAATATTTTTTTTTTTTCAGAAAAATTTCTGATAACATCTTTTCCTTCAAAAAATCTATTTCTGATAATATTTTTCCTTTGCTGGTAATATTTTTTCAAAAAATGTATAGCTGGTAATATTTTTTTTTTTTACAAAAATGTATTACTGGTAATTTTTGTTTTTCAAAAATGTATTGTTGATAATAATTTTTTACAAAGTATTTCTGGTATTAAAACCTATTTTTACACTTTCATGGTGTTTTGACCTCATAACTATTTGCCCATAGCTGGGACCCTAACAGGTGCTACCACCCCGGGTTAGGGTGGACCTGAGAACACCAGCAATTAAGATGTGGTTCCACGCTCCTCAAAACCTCCCGAACAGAGGCCTTGGTGTTGCATGTAGTTTACGGTCTTACCCAGGACGTGGATGTAGTTTATCGTCATACCCAGGACACTTACGTTTAAAAGATTCTCATAACCGCATGTCGTTATTACTAAATAAAGACATCTGTTAGGCTTTGTGCCAATTTATATTTTTGCTACAGAAAGTCAACATCAAATATCGAAAATAATTGTTATGATTTGATCTGAAGACTACAGCTAATATTATATGTTATAAAAAAACTTCGCTGACAACGGTTACAGGCACGAATAATGGAATAGACGAACGGAGTTCAAACTAAGCTAAAGTAGTTAGTATGCGTTTACTTCACACTAATGCTCTCAGGAAAAGCAATAATCTGCTTCTCCTCCAGACACGGCATTTAGATACCCTTTAGCGATGTCAGGCAGTCCATCTTGTGTATCAGATTAGCAACTTACCTCCATAAAAATCACTTTCTATTGACGGTGCATTAAAATCGTAGATATTCACTAAGAGTGAAATCAAGAGATATTCACTAAGAGTGAAATCAAAAGCTATTCACCAACAGGGAAATCAAAAGATAGTGAAAAATTAAAAAGAATACCTGAACATTGAGAAAAATCTGGAAAATTATCGAACATAAAGATGCTAGTACCCATCGCGCTTGAAATAGTCCTGTAAGAGTTTTGCAAAAAGATAAGAAAAACTGAAAATCCGAGAAAAAATCGAAGTCATCCAGAGAAGTACATTTACTAAAGTCAATTAGAATATTCCGAAGAGTTCTAGAATACTGAGGAAACTGGTAGTCACTTGACCTCCAATGAAAGCTACTAGATCCGAATAGTGTGAAAAACTTATGTACAAAAGAATGCTATTATAAAAAATTAAAATTAAAAAAAATACCTATTATTTCATGTATCTGCTTTTATTTTACGCTTTGCCTGTATCTTCTCATTCCCTCCTTTATCCCTTCAAATGTTCGTTGCTTGTCCATGTTTTTATGTAAATGACAGACAAATATGGGTTTGCGAAAATGCTAAATGAAATAAGGAATGCACAGATATTTTTCACTGCATCTTCTCTTTTATTTTCTTTTTTCTTTTTATTCCGCCTCTCTGTAAAGAATTTGAACATATCACGATTTTGTACTCATTCATCTTTACGTTACTTTCTATATTTCATTCATTATCTCTTGATATCCAGCCAATAAGTTTTTCTTTTGTCTCAGTACACCACCTCATTCTCTCTCTCTCTCTCTCTCTCTCTCTCTCTCTCTCTATCTATCTATTTTTATCTATCTATCTCTCTGTCTGTGTGTGTATGTGTAGGTCTCGTCAACGAAACTCGAGAGTCGGCATGCTGAAGGTAACATAAATCAGCTAAGTGACAAATTTTATACTTGTATTAATTCTATATTAAAAAAAAAAAAAAAAAAACTTGTATAAAAAGGGATGTTACCCAAATACAATTATTAAATTACATGACCCGGTCGGCAACAAGGAAAGTAGCACTACAATATTCAATAAAAGACTTTTTTACGACAAACAACAACATCTAACCTCAGTACCTTGTCAATCGTTTTTAACGAAACTTTAATTCAAATAATTATATTGAATTTTTCGGCTCTTGTTTTGAAACATGAGACCTCTTATGTCGCGAGTTGGAATCATATTTTTAAATAAATAATTGTATTTATGTTCTACTTTTGTACCGAGCACTATTTTTTAAAAAAATAACTAAAATACTAAGGAACTTTGGATTATTTACCTAACCAGTTACTTCCTATTTTCTATATATTTTCACATATATATATATATATATATATATATATATATATATATATATATATTTCTGATATGAGGTATTGTAATTATTTACGTTATTTACATTGTTCGGCTTGTTATCTTCATCTTTATTGCCATATTCACGACATTTTGGTCGTTGTACGATCCAGCCTTCTTCAGGTGATTGACACATGGCCTAGTGGATAAAAGCATTGTTTGGATCCAGTGACTTGCCTCAATGAGTTGAGAGTTCAATACCGGGTTACTCTAGTGAGGAACAAAAACTAGGCGAGTTGAGTTAAAGGGAGATAACTGAGACATTTGGAAGAGGCATGACACTTGGAATTAGAACAATCTACCCCGGTAGATGAAATAAAGGGTTAAGTTCGAAATTCCAATCACCTGAAGTAGGCCGGAGTATACAACGGCCAAAACGTCATGAATATGACAATAAAGTTGAGGATAACAATCCGAACAATGTAAAAATGTAAATAATACATATATATATATATATATATATATATATATATATATATATATTATTATTATTATTATTATTATTATTATTATTTTTACTATAAGAGATCATAAAAACATTTTCAAATCGCTACTCAAAGGCTTTTCATGTTTGAATACTGTTATTGTACTACTTCAGGCGATGGTAAGTAACTGGTGATTAAAATGATTTTTAAAGAAAATTTAAAAACGCATTGTTGCCTCTTTTTCAAGTTAAAAGAGGGGGACATATTAAAAATAGACTTGTGGGTATGTCTTGATTGACCAATTAAATGTCAGATCTACGCTAAATAGAAAAGTAAGCTCAGAGGGTGGGGTGGGTAAGTTATTTTTTTCATGTCACGCTACACTGAAACATAGGTTATCATTGATGATTTCGGAAAATATGTCAGCGACAAATGTATCGTAACTGTAGGCAAATATGATATGCTCAATTTTTTTAAAAGGACGTTGAAGAGAGGGGTGGGTTAATCAGACGTAAAGTTAAAAGAAAAATTATTTTTTTTATATTCAGGAAGCATAATAAATTTAATAACACTGCCTTAAAAATTAAAAAATAGTAGCTATAAGTGCCCTGACATATATAAAATATATAAAACGTAACAGTGATAGTAGGAATAAAAACAGAAACAGAAAATTCATTTGGTACACCCACCCCTATTTAACCAATTGGTTCATACTAAGTTAGGGCAGAAATTTCTCCATTTAATTGCGAAGCACTTCTCCAGAAATAATCCATTTAGTAAAATTTTTAATAGAAATACACTAAAACTAAGGTATAGCTGTACCGATAATCTTGAAAAAATTATTAAAAAACATAATAATAAAACTTTAAATCAATAGAAAAACTTGAGTAATTATTGCCATTCCAAAGCAATAAACAAAAGTGGATAATACCTTCAGATGTAATTTAGAAATTCTAATGAATGTCCATTCCAAAACAGATGCCAAACACACTCTCTTGTTTACTTAAGCACTATTTCTACTATAGAAAATTCAACAATTAAAAAAATTTATATCGGGAGTATCAAGAATTCCTTTAAAACTAGGTGGTATGTATTATATTTCTCCAATAACGTGTACAGAAATAGGATGTCTCTTTCTAAATATTTTTGGAACTTAAGAGACGTTAATAAAACCCTTACGGTGAAATGGAAAATATTTTTTAAAAAATAGAACTTGTAAATCTT